CTCAGCCTAGGCTCTCAAATGAGATGTCTCAGGCCACAGCCGGGCTGGGAAATATGGTGAGTGAGAGCTGCATTTCCCAGGGTGTTTCGGTGGGAAGCGCAGGGATATGGGACCATTACAAACAAAAGGCCCCAGGCCTGCCATCACCTGACTGGGCCAAGGAACCAACCAACTAAACTAACCCCTTTTCCTCCATATGTTAGGGGGCTTATTCCTTCACCCACTTACTTCCCTGGTCCTTCTCGCATGAACAGAGAGCAACAATACCCGAAGTCCAAAGGTGCAAACAATTCGATGTTTATTGGGGTGAACTTCCAGCAAGCATGATTCCAGTTTCCTTCCTTAGTATCCTCCTTCCCAGCTCTGACACCACAGAGCCTTACACCTGTGTCCCTGTTCCCATTTCCCCCTTTAGCAAAACATGATTCCAATTTTCTTACCCCCATTCCCTGTTCCCATCTCCCCCTTTAGCAAAACATGATTCCAATTTTCTTACCCCCATTCCCTGCTCGCATTTCCCTCACCCACATGCCCATGCCCACCCCCACCCACACCCAGTCACTTCCTCATTGACTACAGATTATATAGTAAAACTTGAAAAGAAAAGGAGTACTTGTGGCACCTTAGAGACTAACCAATTTATTTGAGCATGAGCTTTCGTGAGCTACAGCTCACTTCATCGGATGCATACCGTGGAAACTGCAGCAGACTTTATATACACACAGAGAATATGAAACAATACCTCCTCCCACCCCACTGTCCGCTGGTAATAGCTTATCTAAAGTGATCATCAGGTTGGGCCATTTCCAGCACAAATCCAGGTTTTCTCACCCTCCACCCCCCCACACAAATTCACTCTCCTGCTGGTGATAGCCCATCCAAAGTGACAACTCTTTACACTTGAGTTCTGCTTAGCTATACCTTAACCAATCATTTTCCTGAAATTTAACTAACCAATCCTAACATATTGTAACATGATTATGTAACCAATTATATCCCACCACCTTAATTAGTTTACACCCAGCAAAATTAATTATACAGCAGACAGGAACAATCACAGAACCAGACAGAGATTATACAGACAAACAATAGCAAAGTGGGAACTACAATGACAAGACAACACAGAAGTGAGGATTTCACATCCCAGCTATTGATAAGTGAGTTCTTGCCAGACAGGATGCTATCAAACTAAGTTTCCTTTTACATTTTCTAGGCACTTCCCTTTCTCTGGAGGTGAAAGGAACTATCAGGACAGGATTGTATTCCTAACAGCCGAATAGCACCTTATTTCAGTGTGACTAGTTTGGAATGTGAGGATGTGACTGTTCGCTTCCCAGCTTATGGCTACCTCTGCTGCTTAGCCAAAGGCCTTAGCCTAAGAACAGGGCCTCAAACTGTCACAGTAAGAGAAGGCCCTTACACCGGCAGACAGTGATTTTGATTCTTTCTTTTATACCTCTAGAACTAGCCAAGCGATAAGAATACACCTAAATTCTTAAAGTACAGGCCTTTGCAGACAGGCCTGAATATCTATATCCTAACACCATACCTGAGAAATGTCCAGTCTGGGCTGGTTCTTCCTGAATCCAAACCTGTTCAGCCACCTGTAAGTTCCATGGGGGCTTCCTGACGGTCTGGGTAGAATTCAGAGCACAGAGTCCAGTGTTCCCCAGTCCTGCAGCTGGACAGGACACTCCTTGTCACAGAACTCAGCTCCAGAATTTATTTCATTTTTTAAAAATTATGTTTCTACCTCTTCCGGGTATGGAGTAACCCTTCCAAATGTGACCTATGCATCAAGCACTGCAGCATGAGCTGCCTGAGCATGCAGACAGCCTGCAACAATAGCTCTGTGAGGCACAAACTCCTCCCATTTGTCTCAGGATATTAACTCTGGTACATAATGATGATACTACAATGTCAACATTGTTAACAATTTCACCGTTCATTATGACATCATTATGACAGCATTATGACAATTCCAGCTGATGTTCTTAGCCAGGAAACAGTCTCCAGAATCTCCAGCTGCTTCTTACCCAGATGCTAAAACCTTCTGCTTCCCCATTGACAACTTCTAGCATGTGGTTGGCTGTTATCAATACAAAAATCTATGGCATGTTGAAAATGTTGGGGCACAGTGAAATAAACACAGCAACACTGGACTGGATCGGAGTCCTCGTCCATCTAGCCCAGAGTCCTGTCTCTGAGAATGGCCAGTATCAACTGTTTCAGAGGAAGGTGTAAACCCCCCCACAAACAGCAGACAGGAAAATCTGCCCTCCAGGAAGGCCTCAGCCTAATCCCTAGGGGCTAGAGATTGAATGTAATACCCAAACGACACCAGTGTCTGCACTGAGTGCAGTGCTCCATTCACATTTAACTCTGCCCCAACCCTCTAGTTTGGTGCTTGCCTGAAGCTGCCCTAGCTGTGCACAGCTGGTGACCTTGCTGCAGAGCTTAGGCTCAGCAGGCCGCAGGGCTCACGCTGGCCTTGCCGAGCACTAAATCGCTGCTAATATTCATGCTGTAGCTCATAGGTGCTGACTCCGTGGGTGCTCCAGGGCTGGATCACCCATGGGGGAAAAATGGTGGGTGCGGAGCACCACTGGCAAACCCCCCCACCAGAACCTCCCCTTCACCCCCAGCGCCTCTTGCTCGCGGGCGGGCCCCGCAGATCAGCACCTCCCCCTCCTTCCCAGCACCTACCGCCTGCTGCGGATCAGCTGTTTTGCAGCGACAGGAGACACTGGAGGGCGGGGGGGGAGGAGTGAGGGGGCAGAACAGGAAGAGGTGGGCCACAGTGGGGGTGGGAATAAGCAGGGTGGGGCTTTGGGGGGGAAGATGTGGAGTGGGGGCAGGGGCAGGGCCTGGGCAGAGCTGTGGGGAGCACCCCGCAGTAGATTAGAAACTTGGCGCCTATGCTGTAGCTTCCAGATGCTTCCCAGATATGAACCAGCTGGATCCCCATAGCACCCATGAGCTAGTGCAGAACTGAGCCAGATCAGCCTCTGCCAAGGCCCTGAGTCAGCAAAGCACTTCCCTTGAAAAGCGGGTGCTCAAGTGCCACTGAAGTTAAAGAGGCTTAAGCCCATGCATAAGTGCTTTGCCGAACAGGGACCTAGATCTGTGCATGCTGGAGTTGTCCCTTCCATGCAGAAGGGGTGCTCAGCCCCACCCTCCCAAGGAGCCTGCTCCATGCAGCATGGGGACAGGGGTGGCTAGACTGGGGTAAGGAGAATGCAAACCATCCCCCCCATCTTATCCAACCTTAGGATGTTCATTGTGTAGCTCTTTTCCCTCCCCCTGGCTCTGCTCCATTCAGAGGGACTCCATCCCAGTTCGCACACTCCACTGGGCCCACCCTGACAAGGGATGGGAGTAGGGGGACAGGCTGCCAGGGCGTTGTAGAGGCACAGGCCCTCTGCAGGGATATAGAGCTTGGTAAACTGGGCATAAGCAAACAATGTGTGTTTTAATATGGCTAAATGTCAATGTATACATCTAGGACCAAAGAATGCAGGCCACGTTTACAAGCCGGGGGACTCTATCCTGGGAAGCAGGTGTTAGGTGAGAAAAATTAAATATGAAGCAGTTATGCCAACCGAACCAAAGTCAGGCCAATAAAGGTTGCTGGGAAAGTCCCCGAACGAGATAAATAGAATAAAAGAATACTTGTTTAAGTTGCAGGGAGTAAGAAAAAAGGGGAGGCCTGCATTTTTGTACCAAATGTTCTGGGAACAGTTTGTTGAGATAGGAGGCACTGTTTTCCACTCCCTGTTTTTGTGTTATGTCTGTTCTTAACTCCTTGTCTCCTGGTTGACACCCATACCGATAAGAAAGTTAGTGAAGCATTACGATTTGCTAAAAGTTATCTACAATAAGGGGTAGAAGTGCATGCATAATAAAGAGAGAGGATTTTAACTAACATAGGGGAGGGGTGGGCTGCTTTATGAATAAATCTGTGACGCGACGGAACTGTCTATAAAAACCTATTAGTTTTACTTAGAGGCTGCTGGTTCTCTTTGGAGACGGGCTGCTCTCTATTGTTGTGTGCACTCCTCAATAAAGAGCTTTGTGTTCAGACCTTGCTGGTGTTGCCTGTCTCTCTCCGGTCAGACAACGAACCATACCATCTGGGGTTTGAGTCCTCGTCACAGGGACTCTGAAAAGCATTTGGGCTTCCTGGCAGATAATCAGCTGAATATGAGCTCCTAGTGCTACGCTGTAGCCAAAAGGGCTAATGTGATCCTGGAATCTCGAGTGGGAGCACAGAGGTTTTCACCTTGGTATTTGGCACTGCTGGAATCCCATGTCCAGTTCTGGTGCCCACAGTTCAAGTAGGATGCTGATAAATTGTGGAGGATTCAGAGAAGAGCCATGAGAATGATTAAGGAATAGACAACATGCTTTATAGTGACAGACTCAAGGAACTCAATCTATTTAGCTTGACAAAGAGGTGACTTGATTACAGTTTATAACCCTCAGGTGGGGGATCGTTGGGGAGACTTTCTCCTACAATAGCCTTTACCCCAGCAGTGGGTGCTCGCACCCATGATGGGCACTTTTCCCATACACAGTCACCCTCTGAGATAAGCAGCAGAAGTAAATTACTCAAGGCTAACGTCAGAGGCAGGATTAGAACACAGGACCTCCAGGCTGCTAGCCTTGTGCTTAGCCCACTAGGTAACACCACCAAAGCACTGGTATTGTTGTTACACAAATAGATACCATAAAGAAGCTATGTAAGCACACAGCAAACTGGGCCCGCTGTGTACATTTATTGCTGTTCACCTCCAGCCTGAGAAGAGTTCCCTGACAAAAATGCTGCCAAGGTTTCCTTTGCATTCAGTAAACTATGTCTCATATCCTTTTAAACCATAATGGGCGAAAACAGAGTTCCATGGCATGAGCTCTCCTGTGGATTCAGTCTGTTTCCTTCTATTATTTAACAGGAAGTTCCAAAAGAATCAACCCAGGCCAGCAAATTTCTCCTCGCACCTCTTTCACTCACAGTATGGATAGAGCAGGCTGTGCAGGCACAAGTTACCGAGAAGATGCTGGCCCTGAATATCCATCTGCTCTTGTGGGTATTTGGCTGCGTTCATTTTATAGGTAAGGCAATTAAATCACACTGCAGAGGGGAGGGGCAGATTTTAAAAAGAGGTTGGCTCCCATTTAGGCAGCTACAAGAAGTGTCTGTCTTTTCAAATGTTCCCAACCCCCAGCAGGTCCAATTGAAAATCTCAGAATCTGTTTAAGTGCTTATATTGGGAGATCAGCTCTTTAGAAAATCTGGCCATGTTAGCACTTCTAAAGTTTATTTCAGAGGGATCACACTGGGATAAAAGAACGCCTATCTTGTGATAACGTAGGGACATTGAGGTGGTTTATAGTATTTAATACACCACTTTGGTATAGAGATAGTTGCTAGAACTACTGCATTTTGAAATGTGCAAAATATTATTGTCCTGTAAAGTATTTTGCCCCTTCCTCTTGATTGTTCATTTCCTGTAGCTGTAAATACAAATAATGTAGGGCTGTGGACAAAACACTGAAATAAGAACATGAATCCCCATCCTTATCCAACTGAAGTTTTGGAAGCAGACAGAGATTTAATATTCCAGATTTTAACTGTTTGTTAACACCTGATGTTTGGATGCAGGGGCAGAGCAAGTGTTAATCCAGAGTCAGCGATTAATGTTTTGAAGTGTGGCCTGCTGCTTTTCCCTTTGTTGTAGGCAAGCGGGGCGTGCGTTGTATTGACAGAGTGTGGAGTAGCTGTGTTTGTTTCTCTATTTAACTGGAGGCAGTAGAAGGGACTGCAAAGTTACTTACTGCTGTTTCTATAATAAAAAAAAACAAACTCTTCCTGCATTTTTTGGATGAGAGGTTTTTCTTATATAACGAAACCATATGAAAAGTTGTCCATGAGGCCGAGGAATTGCGGTGTGGTGAGAATAGGGTTTACAGCATGCAGATCAGAAAGCCGAGAATAAGCCTGTGCAGGTCACACAGAATAATGCTATTGACTCTTCAGTTGCTAGCTGTTCATTTATCATGTCATTCTCAGGAGCAAGAGCCTATGTCTTTGAAATTATATCCAGATGATGACTAGACCAAATTCATTCCAGATGTAACACCCCTGGCTTCAGGGGAAGAAGGGATTTTTGCCCAGTAACTAGGTAAATGATTTTAACCGAATTAGAGGGGTTCCTTAGTATGCTATTAAGCTTTCTAGCAGTTCTGGAGAAGTTGGCCTCTCAGCAACAATGCTGGTTATTCCACAGAAACCTCTCCTGTGGCTTGACAGACCTGCCGTGTCACCCAGCTCTCCAGCTGCATTTTGGATCCCTTGGCTGGTATTTAAACTCAAATCCACCTGCCTGTTTACTTCTCTCCAGAAGGCCTGTATTCTTGGACTACCTCCCCGGGCTTATCCACCGTGTTGGGAGGCACTCTGGTCGAGTAGGTAGGGGCCTCAATTAAGTCAGGACACCTGAGTTCTAGTCCTGTCACCTTAGGTAAATCTCTGTGCTGGTTTCCCTTTGTCTGTTTAACAAGTACACTCATTTTAAGTTTGTAGGGTTTACTGTAGGATTCAGTTACGGCCTCTGGTCAGCAGCCGGCCATTTAATATGTTGGCATATTTTGTCTCACTCTGTTATTCTTCCATTGATATGACCGTTCAGAATGTAACTCTTCCGGCTTGTCAGTTTTAATTTCAGAGCAAATTCATACGGATGTGTGTGCTGCACTTTATTTCAGTTCCCTCGCAGCTGGTGAAAGGGTCTCTGTGTGACGGCTGTATGAGGCTTAGCACAAATGGCAGAGGACTGAGAGCAGTGCTGTTTGTCATCAGATACTCATCAGCTTGCAGGGGGCAGCTCAGTTCTGCTTTTGAAACAAAGATACCACAGAAGAGCTGTATGTACCAGTATAGGAGGGTGGGAATACCATGGGGAGAGAGACTGTGCTTAGCATGTCACAAGAGTATATAACTAAAAAGTCCTGGGAGGACGTGAAAGAAGATCAGGAAAAAATTCCTAGCAGTGAAATGTATTAGATGGTGGCCTATGCTCCTGAGGAGAAATGGTGGCAACCCCATTGCATGGGCCATTGCAAACTGGGCTGAACAGTCTGGGGAACAATATGTTGCTGGCCAAGGGAGCAGTGTGGGGGACAGGAGGAGTTAAAGCTAGTTTTAGGCTATGTCTACACTACAACCTAGGGCTGTGGTTCCCCTTCTCGTGTACATAGACATATTTGTGCTAGTTCTCATCGAGCTAGCGTGGGCGTAAATAGCAGTTGTCATAAATATAAAGGGAAGGGTAAACACCTTTTAAATCTCTCCTGGCCAAAGGAAAAACCCTTTCACCTATAAAGGGTTAAGAAGCTAAGACAACCTCGCTGGCACCTGACCAAAATGACCAATGAGGAGACAAGATACTTTCAAAGCTGGAGGGGGGGGAAACAAAGGTTCTCTCTGTCTGTGTGATGCTTTTGCCGGGACCAGAGCAGGAATGCAGGTCAGAACTCCTGTAAAGAGTTAGTAAGCAATCTAGTTAGAGATGTGTTAGATTCTGTTTTGTTTAAATGGCTGATAAAATAAGTTGTGCTGGATGGAATGTATATTCCTGTTTTTGTGTCTTTTTGTAACTTAAGGTTTTGCCTAGAGGGATTCTCTGTTTTGAATCTGATTACCCTGTAAGGTATTTACCATCCTGATTTTACAGAGGTGATTCTTTTACTTTTTCTTTAACTAAAATTCTTCTTAAGAACCTGATTGCTTTTTCATTGTTCTTAAGATCCAAGGGTTTGGGTCTGTGCTCACCTATGCAAATTGGTGAGGATTTTTATCAAGCCTTCCCCAGGAAAGGGGGTGTAGGGCTTGGGTGGATTTTGGGGGGGAAAGACGTTTCCAAGCAGGCTCTTTCCCTGTTATATTTGTTAGATGCTTGGTGGTGGCAGCAATAAGGTCCAGGGACAAAAGGTAAAATAGTTTGTACCATGCCAAGTAGGTATCAACTGGTTTTACCATGTTTGTACTTGGCATGGCTCAGCCATGCCTCTGCTCCTGCCACCCTTCCTCCTGCAGCTAGTAGGGTTACCACGTGGCTGGTATTTGACCAGCCTGGCCATTTTTTTATGGATTTGCCAGTTACCAGAAAAATAATTTAATCTGCCAGGTTTTCTTTTCCGTGGGTCTAGAGATTTACATTATTATCACAGTGCACTGGGGTATCGAATGTTCAAAGTGTCTATATCCAGCTAAAGGTGCTGCAGTGTTCCCACTTCTGTAGTTTAAGTGATAACAGATCTAAACTGTTGAAAATACAGCAGCTGGCTGCCCACCAACACGCAAGCGCACGGTGCAGGTGTGTGAGAGAGGGTTTGAGTCACAGGAGAGTGAGGAGACGTGCAATGTTACCAGTCTCGTCTATATCTAAGATCTCTCTAGAAACTATAAGTGGCTGTTGAAAGGGCGGGGATCACAGAGTTGCCTTGTGGTTGGGGTTGTGGCGGGCCTGACTTGCGGGTGGGTGCATTTCAAAGGTGGTAACTCTAGCAGCTACACTGGCTGGCGCACTGAGAGTTCGTGCGAGTATGTCTGTGTATGCGCCAGGGGAATCACAGCCCGGCTCATAGTATAGTGTCCCACTGGCAGGTGCCTTAGCTCACTGCACTGCCAAGGGGGACCACATTCAGATCCCAGCTGTTGCTCTCCAAAGCTGCTGCAGAGGCCTTCTCTGCCTCCTGGGTGGGAGCTCCCAGGGTTATTCCCTGGCCATCATCATGACCCACAGGCCTCGAACGTGAGTCCACAGGAGCAGCCACGCTGCAACCCTCCACTTGGCAGCCTGCTGACCCGGGACCCATGAAGCCCAGCCCCAGTTTGAGGCTCCGCCCCTCATACCCCCTTGGCAGAGTCCCAGAGCAGCCATTGGACTGCTGGCCCTATTTAAGCCAGCAACAGGAATGGAAAGCTGTCAGAACAACTGGGATCATAGAATCATAGAATATCAGGGTTGGAAGGGACCTCAGGAGGTCATCTAGTCCAACCCCCTGCTCAAAGCAGGACCAATCCCCAACTAACCCAATCCCTGCTCAAAGCAGGACCAATCCACCCTACTCTGGACTGTGTACCTTGTGCCTCCTGCTCCTGCTTCCCCGGCTTGACTTCCTGGCATCCTGACCTGGTTTGGCTCTGAACCTCTGACTTATGGGTCTGATCTCTGGTTTGTCTCCTGCCTCTGACCTCCTGGTATCCCAACTCAGTTTGACTCTGGTTACCGACTTGTAGTTCTGATCTCCAGTCTCTCTTTGGCTTCTGACCTCCCAGTATTCTGAGCCAGCTGACTCCCAACTTTGGACTCCAGCTCCAACCACTATGTCTGGCTGTCCACAACCCAGCCCTAACAGCCACCCCCTTTGACCAACACAGCAAGATCCTCCTCCACTCCTTGACCAAAAAAGCCAGGCCAGTCTGACGTGTAGAAGGAAGGGGGAGGGTGAAAAACAGGAGGATCCCAGGAGAACCACCTTCCAAAAAGTTTGCTTACTAAGCAGATCTTCCTGAACTAGTCTAGCTCCCGCCCACACATAATTACAGTACATGCTTCAAGTTCCCCAGAGGACTCTTCAGGGAGCTTCTGAAAACTGTTAGCAACGACCTGCAGGCTGTGCATCCAGGAATCCTGTTGTGTCACGGTAGCTGAGTCAGCAGCAGGTGTCCTTACGGGAAATAGTTCCAGTAACTGAATACCAGCACATCTCTGCTTTGAAAGTGGATCTTTGCTGTAACCCCAAGCCCGGAGCTGGCAGAAGGACTATGTCCTGTACACACCATAAGCAAGAGGCATCACTGCTGAGGCTTAGCCTCAGGGCCAGGTGGTCCAACCTCTAAGATTTGCTGGCTGTAAACCACGGGTGGACAAACTTTGTGGCCTGAGGCCACATTGGAGTTGCAAAACTGTATGGAGGGCCGGGTAGGGAAGGCTGTGCCTCCCCAAACAGCCTGGCCCCTGCCCCTCCCACTTACTGCCCCCCTCAGGATCCCCAACCCATCCAATCCCCCCTGCTCCTTGTCCCCTGACCGCCCCCTCCGAGGACTC